GAACAGACAGACTTTATTATCGAGTTTTCTGATTATGTGCACGACACAGGACCCGACGATACGACACAACTTGCAGTCTACACCAGCAAAATACACACATGTATTCTTGACCACACTTTCAAACGGTAGACAGTGAAGCTTGACCACACACTCAAACGGTAGACAGACAAGCTAACAAATAAGGTGCTAAAAAGAAGACTACAGTTTTATTGCAGTTGTTGTTGCTGTTGTTGTTGTTGTTGTTGTTGTTGTTGTTGTTGTTGTTGTTGTTGTTGTTGTTGTTGTGCGTGTGACAGCCCATCATTCCGCATTGTTTGGAGCCCCGAAGAGCGTGCTCTTCGCCAGGGCCATCGCCTCTCTTGGCTAGCGGGTGAGGCAGTCCAACCTCCCTGAGTCTTCCCCCAAAGAGATGTCACCGCCAGGCCTCCGTAGAGGGGGATCTATGAAGCCAGTGCTCCAAATCTTGGGGCTCCTTGCTGCTCAATGGAACGGTCAGATAAGGTCCGATGTGTTGTCGATCCTATGTTTGTAGGCTCGCAGCCCAGAGAGGCGACCAGTCCTGATTTTCGCCAGTGGTGACTGGTCGCCGAGGGACCAAAATTTAAATTGCACCTCCCATTTTGTGGATGGACAGTGCCCCGTACACTTCTTTCGTCAGAGTGTTGGATTTCGGACGGTCTTTGGTTATCAGTTAATCCTGGGCGTACGCGCGTCTGTATTGACGATTTGGCGGCCTGGGCCCGGCAGCGCTGTTGTCTGTTTGGTAGTACCTGTACTGTCAACGAGGTTGTTGCCGAGGATCTCGCAGTGACCTGGGATCAACTGTTGTTGTTATTTTTGTTGCTGCTGTTGTTTCTGTTGTTGATGATGCTGTTGTAGCTGTTGTTGTTGTGGTTGTTTTTGAAAGCGGTTATGATGATAGTACAGAAGGTGTCGTAGTTTTAATAATTTTTATAATATTGCTGTTCCTCACGATGACGATGACGATGACGATGACGATGACGATGACGATGACGATGATG